ATTATCAGTGATCGAGATCCAAAGTTCACTAGTCAGTTTTGGGAAGCTTTGTTGAACATCATGAACGTGAAACACTACATGACCACGGCTGGGCGAGCGCAAAGTGATGGAGCCATAGAACGGCAAAACCGAACTTTAGAGGATGCTCTACGTTGCCAAGTGTCCTACTTGGGTCACGACTGGACTGAACATCTCGGAACCATCAATATGCTCATAAAGGACTCGTACAAATATCGACGGGAATGACCCCGTTTGAAGTTGATACTGACAGAAAGCTTCGCAATCCAGTGTTGAATGACGTATTGGCGTTGAACGAGTATGCGAAGACCTTTGCTGAGCGACGCAAGGAGTTGCAAAAGATGGCCCTGGACAACCGCGAAAAGGATCAAGCCCGCCGAAAGGAGTACTGTAATAGTAAGAGAGCTGATTCAGCTATATTTGTTAATTATTCTAAGAATACGGGATTTAAAGTCGGCGACAATGTCATATTAGCTACACGCGACATTCCGTTAAAGCATGCACAGCTACTCGACAAGCGAGAAAAGTCAAAGTTCGTACCGCGATTCATTGGTCCCTTCAAACTGGCATAATCAACTCAAATGAGATGCGGTTGGCCCTACCTGCGTCAATGTGGCGCCAGCATAACGTCTTCAACGTTGACCAGTTGAAGCGCCACGTGCCAAACCCATCTCGATTCCAAAACCGTCCGATTCCAAAGGCTACGCCCCATGTCATGGACGACAAAGGAAATGAGTTCTTTATCGTATTGTGCTAAAGCAACGGCAATTCAATCGCAAAAAGAAATACCTTGTTCAGTGGCATGGTTTGCCAGAGCACGAAGCATCATGGGAGTTGGAACGAACAATCTAGCACGTTGCGCATTTCAAGAAGCTTGTTCAAGACCTACGCGAGAAGACATGAGGGATCAAGGCGACATCAGGGGGAGAATGTAGTGACCAATAGGGGTTGACTAATGATGTCGTGTGTGCGTGGTCGGTATGAGAAGGCCGCTCGCCAGCCGTACCCGCGACACGGTCACTACAGCTCACACCGTAGCCCAGCCAGAGACAGTGACTGGCTTTGCCTGCCGGACTCACTCTTGGCTTCCTGCTCTCGAAAGAGCATCTTGGACGCCTCCAAGTTACTGTCCTCGAGGCGGTGTGTTCGAATGGACTCTGCCCCAGTCTTCCGTTCATCCTCCAACGCTGCCTGGTCAGCTGCCAATTGAAGTTTCGTTTCTTGGATTTCTCATCTAGTCGCCGAGCCACTTCCAGACAGCGTAGTTTCATACTGCACATGGAACTCCATCGCCAGCTCCTTCACTACGTCTTGGCTCTCGGTGTGGGTTCGGGTCGACCCTTTGCATTCGCTCTTCAAGGACTCGTCTTCCAGTAGCCTAGTGGATTCAGCTTCTTATGGATCGTCGTGGACAGTTCCAACTGGACCAATCGATTCATCACTTCTTGCAATCTCACCGACTGGCTTTGTAGGAACAGAACGTCCTGCTCCAGACGAACACAGACAGGACAAGGCTGTTTCCACTCCTCAGCGAGTTTCTTCCTCTTGAGGGTCGCTGGTTTTAACTTCTCCAGTTGGCTTTCGTGGCAGATCACCTCTTAAAGCAGTAACCTGAACGCATGATCCATCTTCTTCACGAGTTCGGCCTTCTCCGTAGCGCGTAGGACATTCTGCATTCTGTACTCCGCCAGAAAGGACTTTTGCTCTTGCGATGCCTGTACTTGGAGAGCACGCACGTCTTCCTGGAGTTGGCGTACCAAGGCTTCCACTAGCGCTTGGAGAATCCCCGTCGGCCTATCCGATTATTCTTGTACTACCAAAGGACTTCCCGGTTTTCCCGGTGTACACCAGCGATCTCACGATGTTTCGCTTGTAGCATGCTGGTTGCCGCCCTGGGTTCCTCGAACCACTTGCTCCATCTCACTTGACACTCATCCAATTTCGCTTGAACAACCTCCCGGACCGCCCCTTTGCATGTACTCCGTGAGGCTTCCAATTCCATCCTGTAGCTGTTTTGAAGCGACTCCATGGCTAGCTGGAACTCGCTCTAGCGGCGGGTTTCGTTGGCACTCGCGGTCGCCATGAGAACATCGGCCGCTAGCATCAAACGAGAAACTTGAGCATCGAGTAGACGAGAGCGATCCTCGTTGTCCCGTTGGAAGAATTTGAGTGCCTCTGCCTTTTACAGATACTCCACGTTTTGGATGATATGGCCGAAATTTTCTGCGACGCCTCATCGACCTTCTTCAACACGATGGCAATTTCAACCGGGAACGCCTTGTTCTCCTCTTCCCACGGTTGCTCAGCCGGTATTTCCTCAATCATCCCACCGCAGGAGGCCTCATGTGCTATGGAGACTTGTCCCTCGGTTTCGAAAGAATTCGACAGGTTTCGCGCAACTCCAGTCCGTGGCTTGTCCACAGAGTCGAGCGCAATACGAAGTGGTCAGCGTCAGAAGACACGTCCGGCGAGCCATCCCTTACCTAGTCGCTACTACTCAGGGGCCTGGACAACCAACTCCGGATGCTGGTCCTCTTTTTCGGACAGATCGAGATTGGCCTACCCGCGCGGAGCATTTGACGATGCGCTGGGACTCGGCTACGCCTTGGTGCTCAGGGGTCTTCACCGCCAAGCGAAGCGACTTTCACTGATGCAGAGGGGCTTGTTGTTGGTTGTGTGTCGACACTTTGACTTTTCACGCTTCCCTTGCAGACGCGTTCCCTGCTTGTCGATCAAATTGACACGGTGTAGTGAGTCCGCGCCTTGTTTGTCCGCAAGGCTTCTTTCTTCGGGAAGCAAAGCAAATCCAAACAGGGTTACTTCTCATTGCCTTCCTAGTCAGTTCACTTCGTTCCCCTCAATACAGTAGCAACTTACCACGACGTCCTGGTCGTCCCGTACTATATCGTCCCGTACATTCAGCATCCAGCAACCGACCTCAGCGAGGTTGAGCTGGACTCGGGGCGCACTCGACCAGTGCACTTCCCCCTACAATGGGTGACCAAGGGTGAGTTCCAACGCATGACGCATCTCTTCCACGCCGTTGTCGTGTTTGTGGGAATACACCCACTTGCGAAGCAGTACGGGAACGTCTTCGTACAGGTTGAGGGCTGGCTCCAATTACTCCTGTAATACCACCGCTGTGACGGCGCTTCCTGCCTCTTCTCGGGTGCGTCTTTCAGGCTGAGCCACTTGACCAGGATTTCGTGCTGCCCGTAGACTACACGGGCAGCCAGCAAGTCTTCCTCATGGAAACCACCTTCGCCGTAGGCAGCTTGATCCAGAAGGTCTTCGCCCGCGCCGTTCGCTGCTTCGCTATACAGCTTCAGACGGCAGGCGTGGTGCACAGATTCGTTGAATGGGGGTACCAGCTGTTCGGTCGCCATCACATAATTGGTGATAACTCGCGTGTTTCTTGAGGGACCATGCCACGCCAGGGCTAAATTGCTCTGGTGTACGACCGTCCCGACTAGGACGTAATCGCCAACGTCAAAGTTAGTCCACTTGAAGCCTTTTTGTGTGTCTAGCTCTCGCCTTGCCACGTAGCTTCTTGCTACGTGCCGACACATCACGATGCATCTCGCCTAGCGCGTTCGCAGGTCTTGAACGTGCTTGATCCGGGACTTGTCGAACCAATCCACGTCCCGAACTTCCTTGGTCGTCGGATGGACAATCCCGGACAACGGTGGGGTTGCGTCGAATCCACCAAACGCCGTCGCAGAAGCATGGCCACCAAGCCGATTCGATAGCCGGTGGTTGCGGGCACCTTGGAAGAGGGGTAGCACCATTGGCCACTGCGTAGCTGGGAGTCGCCATTCACTCAGCAAGGCTATCATGGTCTGTAACAGCATTTTGTTCACGACTACGACGGATCCATTCGCCTATGGATCCGTCGTCACATGGTGGTGCGCGCCGACTAACTTGCGCACCTTCTCGATAACTTCGTTCTTGAAAAGGGTCCACCGTCGGACACCCATGTTGTGACTATCCAAACGTCGTGAACCAATCCATCAGGGCGGCACCTGTTGCCGTGGCGACAGCATTCCGGGACGGAAACAACCGGACAAAACCGCTCATGTCATCCTTGACTACGGGCATGTGCTTCAAGCCTTCGTCTGACTTGGGCAGAGACAACCAGTCAAAATGGATGAGCTCGTTGGGACGCTCAGCGTGCAGAGCAGATCCCAGGGGGCGGGGGCACCATGTCGCCATCCACACACATGCAATGGAGACACCGCGTGACAAATCCGGTCACGTCGGCCTTGAGCGTGGTCCACTCGAACTTCGCCGCGACAGATTGCGTCGTCGCCGCCACGCAACGGTGGCCAGCAGCTCCTTGGTGGGCGATCACACAGAGCCGTTGTTGGAGATCCAGGTCGACGTCCGGGAACCAAATCTTGTCGTTCGGCGTGACATAAAACTTTATGTCGTCGTTCCAGGTCACTCCATCAGGTGGTTGACCGTCGTCCTGCAGTCGACTCTTCTGAGACTTGAGGACCGACTGGGCCGTTGACCATTCGACATCCTTGTGACGTAGGGGTGAAATTAGCGCCGCCAGACGTCGCACACGAGCCACCGCTGGCGTCGCACCCCAGCGACTGAGAAGGTCCCCCCAGAAGTTGTCTTCACCCGAAACTGACTCGATGATGTACGGGAAGGTGGACATCACCAACGCCCAGCGCTGGAGCTTGTCGTTTTGATACTTCACCATGTTTGGGCTTCGGCCGCGTGGGTTGAAAATGCACGAGGTTGCGGTGGTCCGTTAATATACGGAACCCACCGGGATTATCATCATCCGCAGATCGCCTGGGTCCTTCTTCGGCACTATCCGAGGCGCCGCAGCTCATGTCGCCCGGTTGTTGCGGTAAACCAGTCCGGCGTCTTCGAGCTGGTCGACATGCCGCTTGAAAGACTCCACGTGGTCAGGTGGATAGCGACGCATCGAGCTCTTGACTGGTACTGCATCAGGTTAAGGCGGACCTTGAGGGGCTCCTCCTTAATTAGGGCGTCATTCCCGACGTCCGTTCGGAACACGCCCACAAACTTGGACAGCGGTTGTTCCAAGCGCTCATCGTCTTCATCGCGTAGACCGAGGCTTCGCGCGTCTCGACCTTCGCCGCCAGAATCGTCTTCACCTCGGCCTCGCAACGTCGACGTCGGTCTCGCCCGGCAGCAAGTCTAGCACAGGAGTAGAGCACTCCATCCTGGCCTCGGAGTCATCGTCCTGGGCGACACGACGGGACGTGAACACCCGATTCACAGCGACTTCAGCAGACGGCAGGTACTCGTTGTCGGACATGTCCCACTAAGGTTTGAGATACCGCGCCTTCACGAACAGCGCGTCCGTAGATGATCCCAAGGACTCCATCACGGGACAGCTGTTAATCAGCACGTCGGCGTCTGCCTCGTAGTCGATCCAGACGGGCACGCCACGCAGTAGGAGAGGGCCACACGTCCGTCGTGAGCGCCACACTCAGTCATAAACGACGGGGTATCATGACCGGTTTGGTATCCTTCACGTACGGGTACAGGGCGGTAGGTGTGTCGTACACCACCACCTGGGTAGCACGCCCGCCTTCTCCAGCGCCGTAATCAACCCCACGGAGGCCCCGTTGACGTTAGCACCAGTGTCAAGTAGCAGGTTCTCTACCACTACAACGTCGGCCACGGTGGCACCACCTTCAATCTCCAACGTCAATTACATTAGCTGTCGGACGCGCCTCGCGGGAAACCTTCCACTTTTGTATCTGCGCCGCTATCAGCGCTTGCGCCTCACCAGGTGCCGTATTCGAGCAGTCCGTGACCTTGTGAGCCGTAGACTTGAACTTGAGACGCGCAGCAGGCTTTCGCGCAGGGGCAGACGGTGCGTCCGACTTAGTCGCTCTGTCCGCGGACCGGGGCTTCGCTGAACCAGCTCCCCCGTCCGGGTTCTTCTCGTCCGGCCTCTTCGGCGCAAGGCCACGACCGTCTTGGCTCTTCGCCGGCTTGGCAGGATTCTCCTCGTCTTCTGCGCCGCCGTAGAGCTGGTAACCGTTTTCGAACGTCCGCAACCAGTTGACGAAGCGAAACACGTCGGAACGCAACGGTTTTTGACTTGCAGTTGCATTTGCTTCCTGACGGGTGACTGGAGCATCGACGGTCGAACTGCCTTGACCGTAAGGTCCACGACAACTTTACCTTCGTCCTTGAGGATCCCCTCTTGGTTGTTGCGTTCTAGGACCTTCTTGAGCTCGTCAAGCAACTTCCCCACTCGAGAGTCGGCGTCCAGAATCTTCATGTCAAAACAAATGGTCGCCTCTTTTGGGTGTCCAGGTCACGTGGCTCTTCTTCAAACGCCATAGAAAACCACGCGATCCACTCGGACTCCGTGACTTCGTCGTACGGCCGGTTAAAATTGCACAACGCCACAAGGCGCTTCGTGAAGTGATCGACACATGCATGCACAGGCATCACGAAGGGTCTAGCGCCGGCCGTCTGTAGCGCGTTGATTTGGCCCACGTACTCCTGGTAGGCGCATATAAAACGCGGCGCTCCTGCTTGGTCGAGCCGCTAAAGCTCTGTGCTTGGGGAGTCGCCGGCGCATGAAAAAAATCACGGGACGTCTTCGCCCATGTCGACGTCATTCGGAACGTCTTGAGGTTGTGACGGCTGTTGACTCGCTGTCGCGCCAGTTGTTCGCGGTTGCTCTTGTCTAGTCGCCGGGCCAATGAAGACGTCGTCCTCACCAGCCGGTAGAGGCACTTGACTGAGGTCTAGCGGCCAGCCCCCGGCTGCCGCTCCTGCCGCCGGAGCGTAGGCAACGCCACGTCACCAGGGCATGTTCATGTCGATCGTCTGCGGCTGTCGTCACCGCGGAGATCGGAAGGGCGCAGGCACCGAACGTTCCACGGTTGCCGCGCGTCAAATGTCGGGAGGTACGACCACGCTCCCTCGACCGCGACATGTCATCGTCACCACGTTGCGAACGCGATCGGTCTTGTCCGTCGTGATCACTTTCAGCCATTTCAGACTCGTAGTGCACTAAAGATATCTTTATTGTGAGTTCGCGCCGTGTTTGTCCGCAAGGCGTCTTCCTTTCGGGAAGCAATGCAATTCCGAACTGAGTTACTTCTCATTACCTTCCTAGTCAGTTCACTTTGTTCCCCTCAATAAAGTAGCAATTTGCCAGGACGTCCAGGTCGTCCCGTACAAATTGTCCCGTACGAATCCATCCAACATCCAGCAAACGATCTCAGCAAGGTTGAGCTGGACTCGGGGCGCACTCGACCAGCGCACACGAGATTTCCGTGAATAAGATCTTAGTACGTGTGGCAGAGGCAAGAGCTCGACAGGGAGCGCCCACCGTATCCTCAGGTAAATGTGTCGTCAAGCCAAATGTCAATGTCGAAGGGAAATCATCTGCTACCATCCACCTCCGCGTTGGAGCTTGTCCGACACGTCAGCCACATCTCTCGTTGATCTCAACAATCTGGACCATGAGAGCCCAAAGTCGACTGTGGGATTGTTAACACACAGGAGGAGAAGACATGTATGGTTGAATTGACAAGGTTTGAGGCATCGGAAATATTTATATGGGAACTGTGTTCTAAATTTTCTAAATGTCAAATGTCGCATTCAAAATGGAAACAATTGTTGCGGGGAATTGGTCAATGAATAAGCAAGGTTGAGGCGCGAATCATGACAAATTGGTCAACTGCGTATCATGCCAAGGGGTCCTAAGCTCACATATATAGGCATCGAAATGGGCGAAATATTGGCCTGGAAGCACGAGAAGATATCCAATCGCGAGATTGGACGTCGACTCGAACGACCTAATCCATTAATGCGTTTGTACCAGAAGTCCCCGAGCGCGTACGGTACGAAGAAGCGGTCGGGAAGAAGCGTGAAGTTGACGAATCGTGACATACATCGCATTTTCTGCATCGCAATCGTATGAAACTTGTAAGCAGCGCAAAGCGCCTGGAGACTATCGGTGAGGGTGACTGCCCGCACTGTGCTCAACGTGCTGAATCGAGCAAATTCATCAAAACGCGAAGAAGAAGCCGGCACCGTATCTGAAGCCGCATTCCAAGAAGGCGCGTCGTGCTTTCGCTGCAAAGCTTATGGCGAAGCTGGTTTTTTGGCGTCAAATAGTCTTCTCGGACGAAAAGAAGTTCAACTTGGACGGCCTGGATAGGTACCGCGCGTACTGGCGAGACCTCCGTGGTGACGAAAAATGTCCTCGAAACGGGTCAGCGGTGGTGGCAGCGTTATGGTCTGCGGTTCAGTGAGCGTGTTCGAAAAGTCTGCTATCACATTCCTTGATGAACGACAAACGTCGGGCGCTGGAGACGTATCTGTTCCCGTTTTCGGGGCGAAGTGCAAGAGCGTTTCGAAGACGAGATTGCTGTTTTCCAACAAGACAACATCTCTGTCCACGCTTCCAAGATGACGTAGAGTTCCTTAAAGACTAACGCGTCTTCCTCATGGACTGGCCTAGCAAGGGCTCCGATTTGAACGCGAATGGGAATGTTTGGTATATTCTAGCCCGCCATGTTTATGAGGGTGGGCGACAATTTGACAATGTGTCTGATATGAAGCGGCATATTGCTTCGTCGTGGAAAATGAAAGGTACTGACTGCTTGAAGGTGCTAGTTCACACCATGCCTACGCGTTTGGCTGTTGTTTCGAAAAATGGTGGTAGTATCGACTGTCAGCGTAGTCCACATATATGGTCCCCGAAAGATACATCGCAATTTCTAGTAGCATTGGGGTTAATTAGGTTTAGATATTCTTGCACTTACACCTCACTACCACAATGCAAACTCTTGTGTACGACGTAGGGCGTGGTCAGATCGAAGCAATTATTTTGCACTATGTAATCAGCAAAACCAAGATTTTCATTTTCGCGTAAGATTATTTCGCGCACTGTAGCACACCTGCCTCTTCATTCCTCATGTTGACAAGCCCTTCCTCTGCGTGTGCCCTGTCACAGCGACCGTGCATGAGCACATGCATACTGGATCGATCCTGCTAGTTGGAGGAAGCTAAGTGGCATGCACAACAAGCAATGCGTGACGGATTGACGATGGGACACAGGTCCAACGTGAATGGACATTTTCAATAAACAACACTTATGCAATCCCATGTCTCAAGAACACATCAAGGGAGTAAACCACCCACGACACACATGAGGACTCCTTTGTCCAGGCGATGGGATGGGGGGTCGAGGGAGTGTTCAAAGCAGCAGCGCTTGGTAGCCCTCGTCGACGTCGACACCCTCGGCCATCATGGCTTGACGCTTAGTCGCCGCGACTGCGACGGCCACCATGACGCCACCCACGACAGCCAGCATCGCAACGGACGACGTCGCGATGGGTTCGGACGAGGCCATCAAGGCAAGCACGCTTGGCGATCCCGCCGCCGGTCCCTCGCACCGCTTGATCGACTTGTCCGACTTGAGCGCTGTGCACGTCACCTTGCTCTTTTCGTCGGGGGAGTTGCAGCAGCTCAAATCCGCTTCTGGTTCAAGCACGACAGTCTTCGCCGCGCCTTCGACAGTCGTCGAGTACACGAGCGTTCCGCCGCACGCCTGGAACGGCGCTTGGACGAGCGGCGCCGTCTTCCCGCCAAAGTCGTTCCACGTGTTCGTACACGTGTCCTTGATGTACTGACCGTATCCATAGACCGAGTCTTGGTTGAACCGCGGGTAGTCGCAGTTGCGGAGCGTCACGACCTGCTTGCGGTGGCGCGTGGTGACGGCAGCGCCTGGCGCGTTCGATTGAAAGGTCAACTTGCACTGGGCCGTGGCGGTCGTCGTCGGCGCGTTCTCGAGCTTGACGGCAATCGCGACTTCCAGTCTCTCATCGCTCGACGTCTTGATCCACGACGTCGATTCCTTCGTGTTGTCGTATTGCCACGTGCAGTCAAAGCC